TTTTAATTAAGTTCCTTTCATATTGTCTGATAAGCTTAATAACATTGAAAGACGAAAGGTAATCACCATATTGATACATGTTTTAATCCAATCTAAGCTTTCGGCTTACATAAGCCATTATCAAAGATCACAATTACTTTTCAATATATTAACCAATACACGGACGAAATTTTTCATGCAACAAAAACAGACTATCATTATTGCATTAATATATATATATATATATATATATATATATATATATATATATATATATATATAGATACATATAATATATATAATCCATATGTTCTTATTGATATTTTTTAATTTTTACAAAACAGTGCTCAATGTAAATTTACAGAGCATAAGTATTATAAATTAACTGATTTAAAATATGTTTTTCGCTACACAGTCATAACCATGTTTCAAAAGCTGAAGCTAAAAACTTTAAATTTAATTATATAATTAAATTAAAAGCATTAGTTCCGTTTCATCTTGAAGCGAATTTTGGAATAACTTATTTTTAAATTTACTGAGTTTTAAACGCACATATAAATTCATAATTTCATCTTTCTAAGGATACAGAGAAATCCAATGATTCAGAACAGATGCAATGTAATGTGTGCTGAAATAGATATTTGAATAACGATCTGCTGCCCCAATACACTAAGATTTATATATATATATATATATATATATATATATATATATATATATATATTTAATATATATTGAGTCAATTGCTTCTTCCACCGCGAGGAAAGTTGGCTCTCTGTGCCGCGCCAGGAAATTTTTCTCCCCGGTATCGATACTTCAAATATACAAATCAACCATTCGCCCTTGCATGGAGTATTGCTGTCATATATGGTCTGGGGCACCTTCTGTTTACCTGGGAGTTCTTGACAAGATCCAGAGACGGATATGTAATATAATTGACCCTGATCTAGCGTCTCGTCTGCAGTCACTCTCTCACAGACGCGCCGTCGCCTCTCTCTGTCTTTTCTACAAATACTTCCATGGTAATTGCTCTGATGAGCTGCTTTCACTGGTTCCCAGACTCCATGAATTCAGGCGACCTACGAGGCTGGCATCCCGCTCCCACCCTTACACCGTAGAAACTTTTAAATGTAGCCGTCTCTTTTACTCCAATAGCTTCATACCTCGCACCTCTCGCCAGTGGAACACCCTCCCCAATTACTGTTTCTCCAACTATTCAAATGTAATGTCAATCGACACCTCCAATTACCTTGATCTATCCACTATCCCTCTCCTCATCCTTTCTTCTATCACTCCTATCTGCTCTCGCTCCAAATCTTCCGCAACCTCCTGCATCCTAGTGGCTTCACGCCTTGCTTGGGGCGCAATGCTTAAAAAAAAAAAAAAAGAAATATGGTTATAATTTATTACATTGGAATCGTAATTACGATCCAATTCATCAGACCTACAAATTCAAAAGCTTTAAATATTTGTAGGTCTGATGAATTGGATCGTGATTCCAATGTAATAAATTATAACCATGGAATATTAGTGTTTGGGCCTTTTTTTATTCTATTCTTACTCTGTCCTTGACATTGAGTTCTTCCTGGATTCTATCCTCATAGAAATTTATATATATATATATATATATATATATATATATATATATATATATATATATATATATATATATATATATATATATATATATATAAGGAAGTGTATAGTAGTTCCAACGAGAGAAAAGTATGTATATTAAAAGGAGAGAGAAACAGCAAATGTTTGTTGTATATATATATATATATATATATATATATATATATATATATATATATATATATATATATATATATATGGGGGGATAAAGAAAAAGAAAAACTTATCTTAGCTGTCGCATTTTGTCCACTGACGGAGTTTATCGAGGCAAATGTAAGGATTTTATTTTGCAACAAGTATTTGTGAATAAAAAAATAATTGATGTTAGTTTTTCAAACTTTTTAAATTTAAGGATCGTTCATAAATATTCATCAGGCTAATTGAAAAGTCTAGGTATCATTTATTTATTTAAAACATTTAAATTAATCCAAAAATAAAATAATTTTAAATACCGTAATTTCCTATGTATAATACGCCTTCATCTATAATACGCACACCTAAAATTGTGCTGAAAATATAAGAAAATGCTTCTACTCACGCATAATACGCACCCCTTGTTTGGTAATCAAACCCTATAAATTGTATCTCTCCAATTTCATTACGGCCAACGTTTCCTACTCTTATCAAAAATGGTTTTAATCATAGAATAATATTATTCTAATTTAGTTTTATGATAATTATTATTTTATTTTACTGCCATTTTTAAAGCGTTTTTGTAGCTATGCATAATACGCACCACTGATTTTGCTTATTATTTTCTTAGATAAAACGCGTATTATATATGGTGTATTACGGTAATTACATTATAAAAAAAACTTAAGACTATTACGGCTTATCACTACAAGGTGTAAAGAAGCAAGAAAAATAAGATGAAAGAAAGATGAGCCAAAAATAAATAACTGAAAATTCTTCATCTAAGAAATTCAGACAACTTAAGACTATTAAGTCTTAATTGCTACGAGGTGTAAAGAAGAAAGAGAAATAAGATGGAAGAAAGACGAGTCGAAAATGAATAATAAGTCACAATTCTTCATCTAAGAAATTCAGACAACTTAAGTCTTAATTGCTACGAGGTGTAAAGAAGGAGAAATAAGATGGAAGATGAGTCAAAAATGAATAATAACTGACAATTCTTTATCTAAGAAATTCAGACAACTTAAGTCTTAATTGCTACGAGGTGTAAAGAAGGAGAAATAAGATGGAAGATGAGTCAAAATGAATAATAACTGACAATTCTTTATCTAAGAAATTCAGACAACTTAAGTCTTAATTTACGAGGTGTAAAGAAGGAGAAATAAGATGGAAGATGAGTCAAAAATGAATAATAACTGACAATTCTTTATCTAAGAAATTCAGACAACTTAAGTCTTAATTGCTACGAGGTGTAAAGAAGGAGAAATAAGATGGAAGATGAGTCAAAAATGAATAATAACTGACAATTCTTTATCTAAGAAATTCAGACAACTTAAGTCTTAATTGCTACGAGGTGTAAAGAAGTAAAATAAATAAGACGAAAGATTAACACAAATGAATAAGGTATGCCTTCTTTTTTCATTTATCATATCATCAATGTTTATTCTCTTTTTATTTATTTATCACAGACTGAGCTGCAGCGAGTTTACCAAGACAGCATCGAGCAGTATGCACATCTCGTAAGGCATCAAGAAGACAGAATTCGAGAACTGGAGCGTCAATTAAAGAATTTGCAGGTAACGTTGACTATACCGACTTTGGACCTTAACAAAATCAGAAAGAAATCAAAAATGAGAATTTTCAAAAATCTAGAGACTCCGAAATTAGAAAGATCCTAATCCAAATCCGAGTTAATCTGCATTTATTCATTTAAACCGATTTAAAACAAAACCTGCCACAGGTATTTACATCACCTTTAAGTTTTTTCCTCTGAAAGAACTTTTCTATTTTATTATTATTATTTTATTTCTTTTGATTTCTGGTCTGTACTCATTTCTCTCCGGGTCCCGCCCAGATATCTAAGGTCAGAAATGACATCATAAAATTTTCCACTGAGCAATTAAAAACAAAACGCACACACCTATATTTGTTGTTAGTATTATTATTATTATTATTATTATTATCTTTATTATTATTATTATTATTATTATTATTATTAATATTATTATTTCCCTTGATTTCTGTTGCATACAAATTTCCTTCTGGGTCCCAAACACAGACCGAAGATCAGAAATGGCTTTATGATATTTTCCACTGACCATTTTTGTAAAACAAAATTAAGATTATGCCTATTTTACATAGATAAAACTCTTTGTAATGTATGGGCTGTACTTGTGAGTACAATTCTTTTGTATTTCTTTAAGGCATGGGCTAACAGGAATTCCTTCAGTGAGTCAGAACCTTTTCCAACCAAACTGAAGGCACCAATCACAATTGAAATGATGTCTTCATATGCCACATTGTTTAGACTTCTACTTCAAAATCCTTTTATTTTGATTGTGTTTTGAAGACCTTCAGAGATACATTCCATACAGTCTGCAGGAACTTCTATGTCAATAAGAAATTATTATTATTTTATTTCCTTTGATTACTCATTTCTTTCCGGGTCCCGACCAGAGACCTAAGGTTAGAAATGGCATCATGACATTTTCCACTGAGCAATTAAAGAAAAAGCAACAAAAAAAACATATTTTACATAAATAAAGCCCATCGTAAGGTGTGGGCTGTACATGTCAGAACAATTTTTTGTATCTCTTTGAGGCATGGAGTTCCAGGAGTCCCTTCAATTGATCTACTGGAATCTTCTCCATAAAAATCCGAGGGCTCCAACTAAAACTGGTATTATTGATAAATTTTGAGATTTCTATTTCACGGTCCTTGTATTTTGATATCTTTTTGAAGATCTTCAAAGATACATTGCAGTATGCAGGGACTGCCATATCAATAATGGGGCATTTTTTGTGTTTGAGGTCTCTAATAATGACGCCTGGGTGATTCACTTTCAGTGTTCTGTCTGTGTGTATTTTGAAGTCCCATAAAAATGTTACACGTCTTATCTCCGTAACCGCGTCTGGATGGTATTCATACCAATTTCTTTCAGTCTCCTTTCCGTAGAAGCTGCAGATTTTTCAGTGCAGATATTCGTCCACTCAGATATTATTATTATTATTATTATTATTATTATTGGAAGAGAGAGAGAGAGAGAGAGCGGCAACTTGCCAACAAAGTAATGCTGGGTACAAATCTATGAAACTCAAGAGTGTCATCATGAGTTCCAGTCTGATAAGGATAAAAACCAAACACATTATTATTATTATTATTATTATTATTATTATTATTATTTTCTATATCGTCATACAGTGTAAGCTTTTAAATACACCAGTTACGTTATCTGTCGAGTGAATCGGTATTCCCCCAAGTGGTCCCCCATCGAAGTACTGACCAAGTTCAACACTGCTTAACTTCGGCGATCGAACGGGAACCGGTGTGACTAGCATAATAAAATCTGACAGTCTAGTAATTCTAGGGGGGGGGCAATTTATTACTTAATAACAATAAGAAATCGATCCCCAACTTTATTTCCAGTAAAAGCATTAATATTTTATCGTGAAAATGTTTCCGATATCGCTAGGTTAATATCAATCTTATCGGGAAAGCATTGATTTACATAATAAATGATTGCCTTGATTTTTTACGGTTTATCGGCCTTTTGAGGGTTATTAAAAGACAAAACATATTTCGAATTGTAGCAGGTCGCTTACATTACCCGCTGTTTCTAAGCGGTCCCCCATCTAAGTACTGATCGGGCTCGACATTACTTAACTTCTACAATCGAACGGGAACCGATGTAACTAGTATAATAAAATCTGACGGTCTAGCAATTCAAGGGAGTCGATTTATTACTTAATAACAATAAGGAATCGATCCCCAACTTTATTTCCAGTAAAAGCATTAATATTTTATCTTGAAAATGTTTCCGATATCGCTAGGTTAATACCAATGTTATCGTGAAAACATTGACTTGTATAAAAATTGATTTTTTACGGTTTATCGGCCCTTTGAGATATTAAAAGACAAAATATTTCGAATTGTAGCAGGTCGCTTACATTACCCGCTGTTCCTAAGCGGTCCCTCATCTAAGTACAGATCGGGCTCAACATTGCTTAACAGTTGTTTCACTGTGAATAAGCAGAAATAGACATTAAACATTTTTAGAATAATAATGATACTGCATCTCCGTTTTTCACTACACACTTGGAAGGCCGAAGAGCGTATCAACCGAGAGACTGGGATAAAAATGAAAGCAATAAGGATAATAGTTTCAATAATTTGCGTAATACTGATAATAGTTATTTTAATAACGTAATTGAATACATATATACATAGATATATTTTATATTTTTCCTGAGTGTATATGTGGGCGTTGGGTACTTAGAAATTGAACACGAAATTTAAATAATTTACAGAAACCATAGCGTTTCTTTGCGATATCACAAGGCCAGTTTGACAGATCTATTGTTCAGCGCCATTTTCCTTTCTTAGAGATGCTGTGAAAATTCGCGTCACGTGGTTGGTTTCAATATTCCCACTCGGTGAAAGGTTTCATTGACTTTTTAAACACGACGGTCGATAATTTTAAAGCGATTGTCATGAGGCAGCACAAATGCTTATCATGTTTGTTTTTTTTTTTTGGGGGGGGTTCTTTATTTGCTTCTTTTTTTTTCAAGATTGTACTGAGAAGTGGCAAAGGTTTTAACGCAACGTTTCTGAAAAAAAAAGAAAAATTAAACAATTCTTGGAATTTAAAAGTATGGCTTCCATTGTATTTGAAAAAGAATAATGAATAACAGCAATAAAATCGAAATATTGAAGCGTCCCTGGGTCAGACGATAAACTACATCTGCATCCAGTATATGACGATACACTACACCTGCGTACCGGGTAAGACGATAAACTACAACAGCCTCCCGAGTAAGACGATAAACAACATCTGCGTCCTGGGTAAGACGATAAACTACAACAGCCTCCCGAGTAAGACGATAAACAACATCTGCGTCCTGGGTAAGACGATAAACTACAGCAGCCTCCCGAGTAAGACGATAAACAACATCTGCGTCCTGGGTCAGACGATAAACTACAACAGCCTCCCGAGTAAGACGATAAACAACATCTGCGTCCTGGGTCAGACGATAAACTACAACAGCCTCCCGAGTAAGACGATAAACAACATCTGCATCCTGGGTCAGACGATAAACTACAACAGCCTCCCGAGTAAGACGATAAACAACATCTGCGTCCTGGGTATGACGATAAGCTACGTCCACGTGTTGGGTAAGACGATAAACTGCATCCACGTCCTGGGTAAGACGATAAACTACAACAGCCTCCCGAGTAAGACGATAAACAACATCTGCGTCCTGGGTAAGACGATAAGCTACGTCCACGTCTTGGGTAAGACGATAAACTGCGTCCACGTCTTGGGTAAGACGATAAACTGCATCCACGTCCTGGGTATGACGATAAACTACATCTGCATCCAGTATATGACGATACACTACACCTGCGTACCGGGTAAGACAATAAGCGACGTCCGCGTCCCGGGTATGACGATAAACTGCATCCACGTCCTGGGTAAGACGATAAACTACATCTGCGTCCCGGGTAAGACAATAAGCTACGTCCGCGTCCCGGCTAAGACGATAAGCTACGTCCTCGTCCTGGGTAAGACGATAAGCTGCATTCGCGTCCTGGGTAAGACGATTAACCACATCCGCGTCCTGGGTATGACGATAAACTACATCTGCATCCAGTATATGACGATACACTACACCTGCGTACCGGGTAAGACAATAAGCTACGTCCGCGTCCTGGGTATGACGATAAACTACATCCACGTCCTGGGTAAGACGATAAACTACATCTGCGTCCCGGGTAAGACAATAAGCTACGTCCGCGTCCCGGCTAAGACAATAAGCTACGTCCTCGTCCTGGGTAAGACGATAAGCTGCATTCGCGTCCTGGGTAAGATGATTAACCACATCCTTGTCCTGGGTATGACGATAAACTACAACAGCCTCCCGAGTAAGACGATAAACAACATCTGCGTCCTGGGTAAGACGATAAGCTACGTCCACGTCTTGGGTAAGACGATAAACTGCATCCACGTCCTGGGTAAGACGATAAACTACATCTGCATCCAGTATATGACGATACACTACACCTGCGTACCGGGTAAGACAATAAGCTACGTCCGCGTCCCGGCTAAGACGATAAGCTACGTCCTCGTCCTGGGTAAGACGATAAGCTGCATTCGCGTCCTGGGTAAGACGATTAACCACATCCGCGTCCTGGGTATGACGAGAAACTACAACAGCCTCCCGAGTAAGACGATAAACAACATCTGCGTCCTGGGTAAGACGATAAGCTACGTCCACGTCTTGGGTAAGACGATAAACTGCATCCACGTCCTGGGTAAGACGATAAACTACATCTGCATCCAGTATATGACGATACACTACACCTGCGTACCGGGTAAGACAATAAGCTACGTCCGCGTCCCGGCTAAGACGATAAGCTACGTCCTCGTCCCGGGTAAGACGATAAGCTCCTGGGTATGACGATAAACTACGTCCAACAGCAAGGCCTCTAATCATGAGGTTCTGAGGAGCGTAGAACCACCTCCTAATTGCTGGGGCCCTCAGGTCCACCCTGACTCGGTGTGGTAGCACCTGTTAGGGTCCCAACTATTGTCAAATAGTTAACCCCAAAACTGGAATTAAAACACTATGAAAGTTTAAAAAAAGGTTTTAATATCAGTAACAAATTTTTTAGAGAAAAATTATTACCAGTAATACATTTTTGAAGAAAAATATTACCAGCAATATATTTTTGAAGGAAAAGATATTACCAGCAATAAAAATCTTGCTGGCATTAAATAACCTAATGAGGTGTTGATATGCCGTGAAACAAAGCAAAATAAACTGAAACAGTGAAGGAAATAACCATCGAAAATTAACACAAAGTATAAAAGTGTTAGGATGAATGGTTAGAACAGGTTGTTCGTTGGGAACAGTGCAAGTTATTTCATTTTGACCACGCTGATCAATGATGCAATGATCAGAATTCAACTTAGAGATTCTAACATAGAGAATTAACACAAAGTACACAAGCGTAGGCATGAATGGACAGGAGTGGTTGTCCATTGGAAACTGTGCAAGTGATTGCATTTTGACCCTGCAGACAATGCCATATATACATATCAGAATCTAACTTGGGTAATCTAACATAGAGAATTAACACATAAAGTACACAAGCGTAGGCATGAATGGACAGGAGGGGTTGTCCACTGGAAACAGTGCAAGTGATTGCATTTTGACTATACAGACCAATGGTATATACACAGATCAGAATCTAACTTAGAGAATCTGACATAGAGAATTAACACAAAAAGGACACAAGCGTGTGCATGAATGGGCAGGAGAGATTTGTCCACTGGGAACAGTGCAAATGATTGCATTTTGACCATACAGACTAATGCTATATGCACAGATTCGAAGTCAGGGTATATTAGCCGTTAAAGAAGAAGAAAAATGATACTCGATATTGGATGAGTTGAGAATCAGAGGAAAGGTTAAGACGTTTCAGGCAACGATGTTGGTTGGGATGTGCGAAGATACTGAGGAAGGTGCTGGAGATTTAAGTGGACTTTTGCTGTCCCTCAACTCTTAGTAATGATTAACGGAGGTCTTGTGGGAGCATGCAAATGCATGAATAATAATAATAATAATAACAATAATCAGTTGACCATGTCCCCTAGGGGTCGACTTACTCTTCGTCTCTGCTGATGAGTAGGTGTGTTGTAGGGTCATCAGAGCAGGGTGTCAAGAGGGTTTTTTTTATTTTAAAGATGAGTCACACAAGGCGAATTGTGAGCCATATCTAGATACTCGTGAACACCCTCGATCGGAGACCGTCAAACTGGACTAAGTTACCCGACCTAAAAGTATTTCTAAATGGGCCCCGTTGCTCTTATCAAATTTTGTCACCATATAGGACACATTTGCCTGTTATGCGTGTGCTTGATTTTATGGAACTTTACAATACACACAAACAGAACAATGAAAGTTAATCGCCCAGACATCGTGTTCAAAGATACACAAGAAAAGAATATGCTTTCTTATTGACATGACAATCCCTGCAGATTTTAATGTATCTTTGAAGATCTACAAAAAAATATCAAAATGCAAAAATCTTGAAGTGAAAATCTCAAAGGTGTGGCACTTGAGGACATTAATAATTCCAGTTGTAGTTGGCCTCGGATTGATTAGAAAAGTTTCTGACTCATTGAAGGAATTCTTGGTAGCCCTTGCCTTAAAGAAATACAAAAAAAATTGTACTCACAAGTAAAGCTCATCCATTACACACATTAGAAAGACCTTTATCTATATTAAATGTGTTTGATCTTAGTTTTTTGTCTTGTTTATGTGATGTCT